AAGAAATATCTTAGATTTAATATAAGAGTTATTATCTTTAAATTTAATTCGCGTAGATTTTTAATCTTATAGCGTCGAAGAGAATAAACTCTTCTTTTAATCTTATTAATTCTTTATATATTATTAATTTTTTTTTAATTACTTATTTTATTATTAAAGCGAGTCTTATCTAGAGTAGAGAGCTCTTTCGTTTTTTATAATCTTTACTTTATATTTTAATATTATTATAATAATATAGTATAGATAATAGATTAGATAGTCTTCTTTATAGCTTCTAGAGAAATTTTCTCTATTACTCTATTTTATAAGACTTTTATACGTTTTAGATCGATTATATAGCGATTTTACTATAATTAAAGTATAATAAGATAGTTATTAAAGCTAGCTATTAATTATATATCTTTTATAATTACTTTAATTAATTAATATTTTATATTATAAAATTTAATAATTAGATTATAAACTTAATTTAAATATTATTCTTTATATTCCTTCTAAATAAATTCTCTAATATTATATAATATCGTATTTTTAATATTCCTTTAGATTTACTTCTTAATATTTATTAATAAAATAAAAGATTAGCGAGTCTTTTCTTTATCTATATAAAAATTAATATAAGATATTAAGGCGATAAAATTATTATAATTTTAAAGAAATATAATTATTAAGTTATAGTTATTAAGATATTATATATTAGATATTTTAATAACGATTATTTTCTTATAATTTAAATTACGATAGTAATTATCGCTATATTTATAGCGATATTCTTATATATTCTATATTTTAATTAGCTTAAATTTTTTAACGACTAATTACTTTTTAATATTAAGCTTTAAAAGTTAATAATATTAAATTTAAGTTAAATCTACGAGATAAAGATCTTTATTTATAAATAAAGAATTATTAGATATAACGCTTCGGCGGTTATTATTTTCGTCGATAGTATTATTAGAATTTTTATTAATATTAGAATTAGTATTATAATTACTTAATTATATAATAGATATATTCTAATAAGAATTATTTACTAGATTAAAAACGTCGCTAGTTAATTATAATAAGACGTTTTTACTTTATAAGTTAATAGAACTAACTCGCGAATTATTTATTATAGCTAAATTAAATAGCTTTATATAAGTAGAGTTATTAGAATTATAAGATAGTAAGATTTCTTTTAATAGAACTATGTAATAATTATATAATTATAAAGTTTAGATATATAGTTAATAAAATAAATAGATTAGTTATTAAATAAACTAATAACTAAAGAAAAAAGAAGAAAAAAGAGAATTTATAAATATTTAAGACTTTATTAAGTATATTAAATACTCGCTCTAGCTACGTAGCTTACAGCCTGGCAAGCGATATAAGCGAGCCTATTAGTTCGCTTTAAGTACTTTTACTCTTATCATTATTCTGGACAACGTTAGTATTTATGTCGATTCTCGTATTATTGAGACTATTGCGATGGAGTATTTCAAGTAGAGCACTGTAAACTACATATTTGACGGCGAAATTGAGGTATTTAAACGAGATTTGAAGCATTTAACTATGGAGATAATAGAGTAGTTATAATGAAATACTACGTAATATCAATTAAAATCCTTTATCTTCTCTATGACCTTAGGCATTACAACACCATCGTATTCGTATTTAGGCTATATAGAAGCTTCAAAAATATGAAGTGGGCTGGTATAAGAGTGGTAAGTACGTTCTTTATAATTTTCTATGAATGGCGTTAATAAAAAGTCGGAGGCGGAGCTAAATCAGCTTTGCCAAGTATTCTTATTTAATTCGCAATTCATAATAGTACGGGTGCTGCGAAAATCCCATCCCGCTAGTAATGTGCAACCCTTCAAACTCCCAGCAACGATGGACGTCAGAGACAACATCGAAATTCGTATACAAACTGGGTCGGGTGCTGCTACTCTATATGATTAGACCCATGTGGCCTGTATTTTACGATGGTCTAGTTGAGGGTATGGAATCCTAAAGCTATATTTTATTTTAGCAGAGAGGAGCATTTATCCCCTTACCGATGTACGTAGAAACCAATGCCACCGTAAGGTAGCTGCGAGCGACCTGTCGCATCTGCCATTTTCTGCCCGAGCTTGCGATACTCTTCGCTTGGGTGGGACCGGTTGGGCATACATACGGGCAGTACTGATAGAACCGGAAAAAGAAATTTTCAGGAACGAACGAGATCGCCCATGCGCAGGAAAGAGACAGGAAGAATTGGAAAGGGCGAGTGTGAGTACCTGGATATATTGAACGCCACCGCAACGAAGCAGCCAGTCCATAACGAGCGGGCCGTGCTTGTTGGCCCAGAGGTTGTGAAACTCCTGTTCAGGGGTGTTTTTCTTACGGCCGACGCAGATTGAGAATCGGATGAGGCCTTCGGTCGACATAGGTGGAAGTGGTGGTAGAGGTGCAATTGAAATAGAACAGGAATGAGGCTTTGGTAGTAGTGATGGTAGTCATCCTTGATGGAAAGTGAGATGAATGGAGATGTCAGCGCCTATTAGATAGTGAGTCCGGGGCAACCCTTTTCCCCACTAGATATGTAGTCCGGGAAACATCTAGCACGAGCGTGGGAGGCCGCAACTGCAAGCTAGTAGCCGTACCAGCTGACGAAGGGACGAGGCATGGTGACAGTCGGTGCTTCCCGCTGTTTGGCCCGCTTGATTTCCAGAATTACGGATTGATGTCCGTACAATTATACAAACCTCCCGAGGGCCAGTCACCGCGCTTGGCGCTTGCACAGGTCATGAAAGCAGACTGGCCCCGTTCCGCTCACGACTGCGTTGGCAATCCAAGATGGTTCTGCTGCCCCTGTTAATATAGAATTCTAAAGTGCAAAGGCAGTGAGATCCACAACATTCGACCGAGCGTTTTCCACATCACGGGAAAAGGAAGTATCATTTTGACGATTCCCAGCATATCAATTTTCTGCTCTGCCCCGAATCAGGTACTCCCTAAACACCAACTACCGCTCAACCTCTCACATATTCTACCACGGCTTTCTCCACGCCAGCCAATTAATCGAAAATTGCACCGGCAGCGTCGTCACCGCTACGACTAAAGTACCTTTACAATTATTGGGCCATGGCTCTTGGCCCATCTCAGATTGTCACCGCCGACGAAATGGTTGTAGACGATCCGCACTTCGAGCATGAGGGGTACTCCGAGTATGCCGACGAGCCAGCGCCGGATACTGGCTAGAACGGACGGACGACCTAGTGGATAGAAATAAGGAGAAGAGTAGGAATCGGTTGGGCGAGATCTACGGACTTTGAGGGGGGTCGTAAGGCGCGCTTTCGAGGGTTTGGGGGGAGTTTTCGGATGACACGCTGAAAGGACTCGAGAGTCACTCGGGAAGGGGAAAGAGAAATTCTCAGAGATCGACTCTATAGCTGCTGACTAGGGTTTGAGATGTCAAGGTGATGAATTCGACGACGGTTTATTCAGATATAAGAAAGGCTGTGTGAGGCGTGTTGGAAGGCGCAGCAAGTAGAGTAGACTTTATACTTACACCACTGCATTGGTGGGCAAGGATGTCCTGGAGACCCTTAGCTTCCTGTTCAAATCTATTGATTTTGATCCGTCGAAACGTGTACGGGAATTGGGCCATGAAAGTAGTGCGATGTTTGCCCTAGAGCTAAGCTCGAAAGAGAATAGCGACCGCCGGCGCCAAGCCTGCCGATGGGCCGGTCCAGGTCTCGGCGGCATCAAGATGTTGGTTATTCTTCCTTCTGGATGTTCATTAACATTGGTCAATCTTCTGGAATACTGGTACGTGCGTCTCTTCACTGCAGTCATGAAAGATGAATTGCTTCAACGAAATGAATGCTTCGAATTTCCTACCTCTCGCTTCCACGTGGGGTTTGATTAAAAAAAATCTGAACCTTCGGACTCCCGTGATGGCAAGCAAGCGGACCCCATTGGCTCGCCTTCTTTGCGAACTTTCGTTTATCTTGACAGAAGTCTAGCAGTCGTACCCTGTCTACTACTAGCTACGCGCGGGTTATCAGTACGCGCGGAAAAGCTGGATGCTTCTACTTATTATAGCAGGTACCTTTCGCATGTGATGCACGCTCTCAGAAATATCCCGTATCATGATGATCATCTGGTTATCTGTGAGCCATGTATTGCCGTTTCATAGACTGCTTGATTATGGCCTGTCTACCTCAGCACTCTGAAATCGTCTTCATTGCCATTCTCGTCGCCATTTTGATCACCACTTGTCATCTTCCGTCATCCTTGTACTAGTACAGATGCGCGTCTTCACTTCTATTCTAGTCTCCTTGCTATTACCATTGGTGCTATCTGCTTCCACAGTCCCCGGCCTGAATCTGATTCCAATATCACAAACCTCCTCAACGCTTCCGAGTACGTGTTTAGTCTTTCGAACTTTCACAAATCCGTCGTTCAATGATTAGAATTGTACACTTCAACGCATCAAGGCTCCCGCCCCAAGAACCCATTTTCTGCAACATACGGCGATATCGTTATGGTCCTCTCCAAGTGCGGGCGACCCACCCCACTCGTCTTCTTTGACGTAATGTACGTCCGGTGCCTCTGGGACATCTAGCATATCATCACCCACAACCAGAATACCTATCAGCCGCCCGAAGTGAGACCGCTGGATGGGCCCGCCTTTATATACCGGAACGAAATGTTCTACCTCGAGTTGCAACAGGCATCTTCGGCCGTCGTCAATTGGGAGTATGTCGAGCTATACTGCACGCTAATTCTTATCATCGAGTTTGCCGTCAAGTACCGTATGAGGGAGATGGATGTTGAGGTTGTAGTGGCTGGGGTAGGGGGGTATGGGGGAATCATCAGGTATAACGGACCGCCGGAGGCATCACAGTAGGTGGAATAGTTAGAGGTAATAATCTGATCAGATCCTATGTTCTATGCTTTCTTTGCTGCAATAGTGTTCAGACTAGCTCCCGGCATGTATCAACATCTGGCCGTCTCTCCGCGCGACGTCAAAGTCTTCGGAATGCTTCCAAACCATCCAGAAGAAAACGTCCAACGTTCTTGACTGTAGACCGGATTCCGTCGGGCTCGATCCAGTCGCCATGGTCAACGCTATCGCTGGGGACATCCACCCAGTTCACCCTGTCCCGAACATCTTGCCGGAATTTCTCAACATTGGCTTTGATCATCGCAGCGACCTTCTCCGACACTGGCGGCCTGTCGCTCATCTCCACACATATCATAACTCTTTGCACATCCGGTGCTCCAGTTACTGTCTATGAAGTGCCCTCTCGTCAAACAAAACCTCTGCGAGGGTATTGAAATACTGAAGACTCACCTCCCAGCCAGTAACCCAATGATTAGCCAAAGTGTCACACCCTTTATAGTACATGCGAATGGGGCCGTACTTCTGGTAAATTTTGCCCTGGATGACTGTTAGTACAATCTGACTCCAAATTTCGATCTCTGACGGTCAGATATACTGACCAGGATGGAACGCAAATCTTCATCAGTGCCTTCCTTCGCGATGCAGCGAGTGACAGTGTTGGGGCACATGGCAACACCTATTTTAGATTTCTTCCCTGTCACAAAATCTTTCAAGAGACTCTGTAAGTTACGGTCCACCCAAGCCTGGTAGCCGTCCCCCCAAGCGACGAGCTCTTGCTCTAATGAAACAGATGCGGACTCATCGGAGCTACGGTCCGCGTCGGCCGATGTCTTCGGGGGTGAGCGAGAAGAGGAGGCATGATCGTTCATGGTTGTGTATGGTGATTCCTCCAATATGAATGCTAGTAAGACAGTTAAAGTAGCAAGAACTCCGATGTCCATTATATATGTATGACAACAGAGGAAGTGTTATGCTCTCGGTGTGGCGAGTTGTTGTGTTACACAGTGGTGTGAAGCCTCGGGTAAGGGAGGCAGCTTCCAGCTCCCTTTGGTTAAGCCCTCACTTTTGTCCGCACTGTCCGATATCGATTCTTCTATTGCCTACCGGATTACAATCGGTTGTTTGTATTGCTTTGTTATGGTCTTGCCTCAATGACGAGAGCAGCCTCGTTTCGACTCCATCTATGGTGTAATACTAACACCCCAGGCTTCGCTCTATCCACATATTAAGCGGTGATTCGCCCCTCAAAAACCATTCCGGGTCTTCCACAGGAGTACGATACCATTAAACCGCCTCTCTCATTATCAATGGCCAGTGTCAGGGTTTGAACCCCTTGAACCATTTCTCCTTTTCTTCTTCTACCAGCACCCAGTCCGCGTTACCTTCGGGCTGCTTTTTGTCCGCCAAGATCGACGCAGCCAACATCGTAGCTTTGCTTCCTGCCTCCTCGCCCTCTACGCACATTACCACTGCCAGGTAAAAACGCTGTTCGGGCATTGCATCCATCGACCAATTTCTTGTCAGTCCGAGTCTTCGAAACAGACTCTTGTCCTCTCACCTTCCAACCCGAAACCCAGTGTCTGCCCAAGGCATCACGGCTCTTGTACATCAACACAAGCGGGCCGTACTTCTCATACACCTGTGTCTGGACGGATCATCAGCTTGTGCGGTGCTCGGACGCTGGACAAGGAGAGCGACCAAGGTGTACCGCAAGTCTTGCTTCATCCCTTCCTTTGCTGAGCATCTACCCAACAACTCTGGATACCCACACGTGCTCAGCTCAGCCTTTCTGCCCCGCGCAAACGCTTCGTATAGCACTTTTACGTGGCTATCCACCCAAGCGTTCTCAACGACGCAGTCATTTGGATCAGCCCATGCGTTCTCATCGGTCAAGGCTTGTTGGAGCGTGTATTTCGACGAGGGAGACAGTTCTACTTGCGCGTCCAAGGCGATGCTCTGACGGTTTTGGAGGGTCGGGTTCTCGGGTTTCTCGTCGATTAGGGCGTCTTGGAGATTCTTTTCTGATACTGGGGAGAGGTTTGTGTCACGCTTTTTGCTGCCGTACTCGCGAGGGACACTATTGTCAGACATCTTGGAAAGCGTGTTTTGGGAGGATCGTAGATGCGCTTTGGTGAGATATCCAGGTATTCCAGAAATGGAGACCGGTAAGAAAAAGCACGGAAGAGCTAACACGGAAAGAAATAACACCTAATGTGTAATCCTAAAGTGTTAAGTAAATTGTGTTATACACATCGCTATACACTGTGGTAACATCTTATCGAAAAATAATACGCCGATTTACCGAGGTTTCTCATGTCCTCCCTCACCGACGACCGTACCCGAGCCTCGCTTTCAGAGGTACATACTTCCGCCGAAGAGATAAGCAAGGCGGGGAATCAGGGGGCAATGAACGTTTCCGCGAGATCGGAGGTGGCGAGGCAGACGGGCGAGTCCAATGACCCTGGTCACAGGCATCTTCGGACGGCACATGGGTTGAAAGTCAAGTCTTTGATTGTGCGAAGGTACGCTTGAATGGGCTCTCATTCCAATTGAGTCCTCGCCACCATTCTCCGCCTGCTAGCTACAAAGACATAGAAACAACAATCGAACTTCTGTCACGCGTCTAAGCCGAGCATCCTCCACGGATAGATTGCAACATCGATCAATCTTGCCATCAGAGGACTCAACGACACCACGCTTATGTTAGCGGGTTTGATGTCTCGAGGGATCACACTTTGCCCGTGGATGGAGTCAATACCGTCCAAACACTGCCAGAAAATCTTGATTCTTTTGGATTCAGCATCAGCGAGTTGTTGCCTATGGATGGGTCTTTCCACTGTGCATAGGACAGTCGCCTACGGGCTTTCGGAGATTGAAGATCCGGGCAGTTCGGTAGGCGATATTCCGTTCGCCTCTTAGGCGGCAAACTTCAGTCCTCGTTCTGGTGTGATAGAAACGCTCTTCGGCTAGGTCGGCTTCGCTCTTAGCCAACCGTTGACGCAGCTCGTGCGACTTTGAGTCAATGGCACGACTGAGCTTCTGGATGTCATTCCGGTAATCCGATGAACGGTCCACTTCTCAATTCTCCTGTACCTGAGCATTGGCAGCGTGAATTTGACCTTGTAGGCGTTCATTTTTCTCTTCGAGGACGTGCCTCTCCTCTTCTAAGACATGGCACTCGGCCCGCGGTTCCTCGTGGGTATCCCTCTGGATTCCGTCTGCTCGGGTCCAGAACCCATATCTATGACACCTCTAATGCTGTGAGGTTAAAAGATTGAAGATATTTGGAAATTGGGAGAGGTGTGTGAGGCGTGTGAGGCGTGGGATGAAGATTGTCAAAGCAGCAGTTGCTGAGGAAACTCCAAACGCTTCCGATCTCCAAACCCGCCAAACAGTATATCAAATTCTCGAGGGCCAGCTTCAGGATTTGCAATGCTTGAATCCAAGGCCCCCGACCGGCTTCTCCACAACGGCCCAGTCCTCGTCGTCTGGAAATCCGGCATCCTCCGCCTGGATCATGGCGGCAAGATTATCCAAGACTCGAGAGCTGCGAGTCCATTCGGTTCCCTCAACATAGAGCATGACCTTCTGGACCGTCTGTGTCCCGCGCATGGACTTCCTCATTGCTATATCAGCACATTGCGTTCATTTTCCGGAGTGGGGACTACGAACCTGGTATCCTACCACCCAGTGGCGAGCCAAACCGTCAACCCCTTTATCGAACATGGTCAACGGGCCATATTTCTCGTATATATTGTTCTTCATCAAGCGTCAGTTCTATTCACTCTGAGTATGTTGCAACGCGCCAAGATAACAGTACTCACCAAGCTCTTACGCAGATCTTCATCGGTACCCTCTACTGCACTGAAGACCTCGATGTTCTTATGCGAAGAAAGGTCCACTTTTCTACCTGTTGCGAAAGCGTTGAAGAGATCTCTCCGATTGTCCTCAACCCAGGCTTTCTTCTGCGCATCTTCGGCAGACATGGTCTCATCTAGTGCGTCTTCGAGGTCTTTCTTGGACGCGGGTGATAGTACTGGATGGACATTGAGCGCCTCGCTGGATCCAGAGAGGAAAACCTTTGAGGTAGACATGTCGACTGGCGATCTCGCAAGAAAACGCTGTCACTTTGGGTGAGGTAGATGGGTGGGAAGACCGACGGGAACGACTGTAGAACAGTAGCACAGAGTGGGAGACCGCTGCTCATGCGCTACCTTTGTAGTGTTCAGCAAGTCGTATTATGCATCAGAACAAAGTCATGCAGAAAAGAGATATGACGCCTTACCGAGTCCATGCTCTCGTTCAAGATCGGTGCTCAATCGTTACGTGCATATTTTTAGATTTCGGTCAAAAAGATAGATCAAGTGGCGTTTTCTTCGGTCGAAGACCTGGTCGGGGTCGATGCTTCATGTTCTAGGCTCTCCATGGTGTGTATTGATGGAATGACTTGACACGTATGCTCCTAACGTAATGTAAGACTCAGGCTGCGTGTCTTGTAGATCGTGCTTCCAGAATTCGAAGTGGTCTACAGACGACAGACTTCCTAGCTTGTCGATTCGTAATTACTCACAATTGCAACGCTTCGAATCAGGCGATTTTCCACGGTTTGGTCTATGAATCCCGAAGTTGCCGTCGGCTTCCATCCATTTGCACATCGATGAGCCATTATTGCTCTACATTTACCTCGGTATATAAGCATTTTGGACTTCAACATCAGACTTGAAACCCACCTAGGTTCCATTCGGGAACAAGTACTTCCTCATCGGTCCGAGTTGGCTCTTTTCTTTGAGTCCACAAGAGATCTCGCCAGAGCAATACGACGCTGTGGCTTATAATTCAAGCCACCGAGTCTGAAACATCAATTGTAGTGATCCTCCGCCCTTGTTCGGACTCAGGAAAAACATGTTGAAGGATCACCGATGTAGAGAGGAGGAAGACTTTGCTGTTCTTGTACGGATGGTAGGATGCGAAAATATGTTTGCCGGCCAGCTCATTTTGGCAAACAACCGGCCACGTCAACTCGAGGCAAAATTCAACGACTTGGCTCGCCGAAGCATTTATCTGACCTGAAGAATGCAGTTACCCTTTTGATCTAAGCAAGAAACTGTTTGCCGACCAGCTCAATTTGGCGAACAACCGGCCACGTAAGCTGCAGCAAACATCGACTTCGCTCGCCGAAGCACCGGTAGGACATGTAGAACGCAGATACCCTTTCGATCTAAGCAAGAGACTGGCAGAGTCAGCAAACTCTTGATGGTACTTCGGCGATCCTACCATCAGCCACTATCAACGGTACTCCTCGGACATCTACATCGTTCAGACCTTGATCCAATCGTCATCCACCTCCACCTCATGACTCACGACCTGCTCCCAGTCCTCTTGCTCCTGTACCTTGCCGTCCAGTACTGGCTGCGTAGGCTCGGTCTTTGCTGCTGCCGTTCTACCCTTCTCCACCTTGGCTGGTGAAACGCAAATGACCGCCTTGGCAGGACCGTGCTTGTGCCTCAGCTACAGCATCGATTAGCGGGACCCAGATAGACCACTGAAAGGCACAGTGCAGTGACACATACCTGCGAGCATATAACGTAGTATTTGCCGTCTCGATCGCAACCACGGACTTGCAGGTCGACAGGGCCGTATTCAGCATAGATGTTGTGCTACATAGATAATCAATCAGCTTACACCAAACACAATGACTTAAATGATCAGAATGGATGTATCACTGTAGACATACCAGAGCATTGTCTAGTTCGCTATCGCTGCCTTCGGTCACTTTGTGGATATTCTCCGGATCAACACCGGCGACGCAGGAGGTGTAGCTCACAGGAGGCCGCTCCAGCGTGATATCGCGGATTTCATAGAAGCGGGTTTTAGTGCTCGCGAGCCACTTGGCCTCGCGCCAGTTGCCCGCGAGCTGGCCGTCACGAGGTGGGGCTGAGAAAGCCATTTTGCGTTTGATTGAGCTAGAGTAAGAATTTGGTCTAGGTGGTTGATAGTACTTGAGCAGTATTGTGAACTATTGAATCTTTTATGTTGAGGGTGGAAACTATTGAACATTAGCTAGTTATGTGATATGGCGATAGTGTTGAAGCATGTGTATTGAACGAATGGCAGGCGTTGCCACCGCGAGACAGCGTTGATTCATGGCTTGCAAATCCCGTCAGCGCTCTAACACTTACAATACTCATCACGTTCTCGACTGAATAGAGAATGCGACCCGAGATTCTTGACTCAAGTCCCTCGTCCACTTCCAAAGAAAGCGCGACTGACAGCATGCAATTGACCTATCCTCACGTTTCCCCTTGCAATTATCCACCCCCATATAATTCACATACTCCTCTACTAACCCCTTCAAATTCTCCGGCCTTGCTGGCGTCCAGAGGTCCCTCCACTACGCCTAAAAAATGACTCTTCAGCCCCACCTCGGCCAACAACTAATCGGTATACGCTGCCTGTTCACACGCCATCTAATTACCCCGTTCGCCATTATTCAGACAAACTCCGCGATCCGCTTTTTTCTTTCATTCAACGGAGGAAGAACGAGACGGTTATCTAGATACGTTGTCGCCCAAGTCGCTTGAAATGCTGCTAGGCGGAAGTAGTTCGCGACCATGACATGGCCGGCAAAGGCGATGGAAGGGTCATTGAGGGAAGCGAAGGAGGTGTAGAGGCGGTAGGGTATGTAACTTGGGATTTTGCGGCGAGCATGGGGAAACGGGTGAGGATTTCTTCATCTGGTTCCTGCTCTAGATGTGCCCCTTCTTTCTCTTCCATGAAGGATTGATTGTGTGAAAGGGAATAGGGAAGACCGAAACAGTGGATGACTAGCCGGTGCCCCAGAGCATGATGTCGGTGGGGTTTCACCATTTCCTAGGTGAGCGTGACGGGTGGAGAGGGAGATGATGTCAGAGTTGTGGATGTGGACATTGGGAGCGATCGTGTCCCAGAAGTCCGGAAGATTGATAAGAATAGGTTCAGTTATCGATACATATTGAGGTGTCAAATTACGGGGTGAATCTTTATTGCGTATGATGTCCAACTCCTCAAATCCTTTCAACGCCTTTTTCCCTGCAGATTTCACCTCATTCCGAGCTTCTATGTCAATTTCACTCCAATTATTTTTCACGAGCCACGGTCCCAGCCTGGTCCCATGCAAAACTTTCATCCACCGAGAATCAGCAAAGAATATCAGCGTCAACGTAGCAGCCATAATAGTGGACGCAATTTCATGTGCATATCTGTAGGGACCGCTGCTTTCTGTGTTCGGCATTACCGAACTCGAGAATCCGGGACCTACCCTGGACGCTTTAATGACCCATGAGACAGACTTTCCGGATTTTACTGACGTATAGACCATATCGGCGGCAACTTTTGCTCTGCCGAGCACAGTGATGTGTTCGACTTCTGGGCAAGGGAGAAATGAAGATTGTCCGAAGTCCTGTTGGTGCAGAACTATTACTTTGAATATTTCTCTGCCGGAAAAATTAGGTAGGTTTGGCGCTGATGTGAGGCCGTTCGCCACGATCACTTTCGCAGTAGGAAACGTTTTCGCCTCTTTTGCTGATTCACGGCCAGAAATGGTCCATTTTCCCTCAAGCTTTCTGACAGAGTCCACTTTGTAATCAAGAAGGATCCAGTCACGCAGAATTACCAGCCAAAGTCATGATGATCGATGTGTTGTTCGAGGTATGGAGTAGTGTGCTTCGATTTGAAGAATTCGTGATAATTGTCTTCCTTAGAAGGTCGAGGCATTGGCATGTCTGAAAATTCAGCCATTCCCAATAGGGTCTGGGTCCAAAAGTATTCGTAGAATCTCCCTGAAGTGTGCGTTCATATGCTGTGCTTGACAGCCTGAGAGAATCTTACTGGAATTTCAAACGCCTCCAAGACCATTATCTTTTTCAAATACTACAACTCTGCTTTCAGAGTGGATTTCTAGGTAGAGCATGGCTGCAACGACACCAGAGATGCCTAATATGGATCAGAGTGAGCTCGGTCTAAAGATCGTAGGGCGGAGACTAGATTTCGTGAACATCCTACCTGCTCCAATCACCACCAGTTCGTATTCCCGAGCATCTATTCTGGGTCGGATGAGTAGAGAAGGCTCCGTTTCGTCCACGTTGAATCTTAGGGCGTGTACTAGTACCAGTGGGTTTGACTGTCAATATCTGGAGGCGACGATATCCATTTCGATGTGATAGTAGCGAGCCCGATCGTCTGCTTAGGCAGCTACTAGGGATGTGGATTTGTCATATGACACGTGACGTCCCGCCAAATGACCGCACAGCAAAATGACTATACTACTACTGTATGATTGAGGGTAGATCTGAAGATTTTCATGCGAGTAATATTTGCTTAGTCATCTTGACTGGGCTGAGACTAGTGGGTAATCATCTAGGCGCCAAGACTAAACCTTGTGACTACCAGAAAATAGGAAACACCGCAACACCATTGTACCAGCGCCAATAGGAATCGAACCTATTACGAGTTGAATACCTTACCCTACTAACCTCTACCTTACTTAAGGTAGAAAGCCTGATGGCAAACCAGTTTAGGCTAGCGTCGTCATGTGTCACGTCAAGGGGGTGTTAGTCTATAACAGTTAGATTACTATCATAGAGGTCAAATAACAGTCATTACACATTCCTCTTTATTACATTGAGATACTTGCTTCGCGAGAGTCTTGTGTGACATAAATCCTACTAGCGTTGAAGTCTCGATGTCTCCTAAAATCAAACAAGATCCGTTAACTTCAAATTCTTGATACGCGCCAAGAATCCTAGGTTTATTGTCTATTTGACGAGCCTCTTTATGGCATTGACCAAAATCAAAGTTACTGAGTAACTACTAGTACCATTACGAAAACCCCCCTACCGCCCTTAAAAGTAGACATTTTTGGCTAGACATGAGGCAGGTATGCCGACCAATTAACATTCACAAACGCGCTCGCCTCCAAGTCCCTCAATCCGACAAAAGCCTCCACGAGGAGATAGGTGCGAGCGATAGCATAAATCAGTGCAAGTGGGAATATACTCCAGAACTCACCCTTGAGCGGCAGCTTTCTTGGATTCGCGGCCTTCTTGACTCTCAGCGTTTCGATATCCTCCAGCCTATCCAACTTATTCAAGACTCGATAGAAAAACTTTTCGCCCCCGTTATACCTGTACCAAACAGCAATGCTCTCGAACATCCAAAAAGCAATTGTGCTGCCTAGTATAATCATACTGGCTATCCGCCACAGAATATTCTCAACTCTTGACGGGAAGGTCCAATTCCAGGCGCACACATGAATAGACGCGTAGATCAGCGTAGCAACGAAGAGAGCCGTGTTATCGCGCAATTCGAGGTACGGAAATCTATCATTACCGAAGCGAGAAATGGGGCGCTCGTACGGCCCAATAGGCATGTTAATGAATGTCTGAATATTTAGGGACCAGCTTGGACAGAGGTCGTCTACGAAATCCAATGGCGTTTGTCGATACGGCCGCGCAGCAGACGCGCCGCCTTCCAGTAGGACAACGGCGATACTTGTCTCCATGTGAACTCTGATGGGGAACTCGACGTCTGTTGGTTTCTGCAGCCAGCACCAGCTTGTTGCTATTGAGCAGACCACGATTGCAAGTGCGAATAGCTCGAGCGTCGTGATTGCAAGGCTTTGCAAGGCGCGGCCGATACACTGCAGGATGAGGTACGTAATTTGTATGCAGGTTACAACCTTAGCGACTGTATCCTGTTTTGACTTGTCCGAGATCTCTTTGCGTAAGATATTCGGGTACGGCAAGTAGCCTTTAGTGATGAGGTAGTGGAGTTGTTTTGCATTGACACGGAAAGGAACGAAGTCTGGTGGGGTGACTTCTATGCCACCCATATCCGCGAAATAGGCATGTTTCATCGTCCAAGCCTCATATCCCGCACCCCTGAATGCTTCCACGGATCTTTTGGCTGCAGCCCATTGTCCAGCTGCGGCAGTGAGAACAAATTCGGGGCCTGCAATAGAGACACCCATCCACAGGATCCGGCGGTAAGCAACACTCCACCATGATTCTCCTATCGAAGGGACATTCAAGCATAACATCACGTACGTCGAGATGAAAATGGTAGCGAGAGAGCTATAGACGATATCGATAGTCCCCCGGTTGTTTGGTTGGCCCACCCAGCCACGGACGCGGTTGTTCGGAGATCCAAGATAAGCTGAAGGGCCAGTGACGGTACAACTTGAAGATGAACTCGCATTGGAACTGATATTGTCGGCATCTGCTTGTCTAATGCTGAGACTAACGAAGAGTAGGAAGAGACCAGAGAACTGAAGCGCCATTGGAGAAGGCATGGTAATACCCTGCACGAAATCTCTATACGTTGTACAGAGGTGGATGTGTGAACAGATTGCGAGGCTGAGAGACAAGAGTAAAGACGAGAGCCATCAACAAAAGATACGTTCTAGACGAGACGTTTAGATAAAAATACATCAGAAATCCTTGGGCTGTATGAGCGGCCGCACCGCGCCTATGCAGGAGTTGTCACAGAGGATGAATCCGTGCCACACACTCAACTTCGGGAAGTGATCCCGGAGTTGAGTGAATTATCGTTATACAGGTGCCGAAGAGGGTATGCCGCAGTAAGGCTGCAAAAACCAACAGCCATACTCTGGGCCAAAATCAAACTTTTGTGTACCAACAGAAAGCTCTAGGCAAGTCCTTCCATTCGGTGATCCCTATTTTTACCATAACGCGTTCTGTGTTGTGGTAAAGATTTAAAATGAGGCAGACGTGTTTCTCGGAACCCGCACATTGTGGCGGGTTGTATTGCATCGTTGCATGCAGGCAGGATTTCAAAATAGACTACAGAGACTCACGACAGGAGGTTTAAGCGGCTTTATGTGATGTGATGGCTGCAAAGTTTTAAAAATGGTTTACGAAAACAAGTGATTGGCTGTTATTTGCAAATCATCGATTTGAGGCTTTTGAGCTTTGACTCGGCGGCTGCCTTGCGACGTTGCGAGTCCTGATCTGGCGATCGCTCTTGATTACCCCCGAAGAGCCGACTGCCTAAATTCCCGAATCTGTATATTCATGCCGGTATTCGCGCGGTTACCCGAGTCCAAGGAGGTTATCGAGGAATGCCCAAAGCATGGCGTCCAATGATAAGGGTATGTACATCGGGGTTGCCTACCCGGGCAGTGCCCGGCCCAAGCGTGGGGGTTTCCCAACATAAACCCCAAGATAAACGCGATTTGATTTGATGCAATCTGATTTGATAACATTACGACTATTAATAGATCATCATGCCGCGAAAATGGCGGAGGGTCTGGTCACAGCCGAGGGGCAGGCCTGCACTCCTCAATGTCCTCTCAAATACCTTGAACTGGAGTCGCCAGACAACAGCAGAAGAACAATCCAAAGAGCATCGGCCTCCAATTGCAGCATCAGTTTGGAGCAAATACGAACATCTGGATATTCTTCGGATGATAGTCAGAGAAGCCTCTCATTCTTGATTGAGCATGGCAACAGCAAGCGGAAATTCCTCATCACCGACTGAGTGTAAGACGAACAGCAACAACCATCACGGTCTCCTGTCGTATGACGCGATCCCGCTATGGTATCAAGACAACGATTGCATCCGCCATGGGTACCGCCCCGTCATGAACGACATCAAGACGTGTTTCGAAAGCTGGACCTATCTCCACAACGAGACCGCCAATATATATAGCCATTTGCTTCCTGCTGTCCTTGCAATCGTGAGCCAAGGCTTTATATACAGATCGTTTTCGTGGTATTATCCCCAAGCGACAACGAGGGACCATTTGATAGTCGCATTCCATCTATGTACTGCATCGATTTGTTTCGGCCTCTCTGCTTTTTACCATACCTTCATGAATCACTCGGCGCACTTTTCGGATCTCTGGGGCCGTATCGATTACACTGGTATAATCATCCTCATTCTCGGTGATTTTGTGTCTGGGATTTATGTTGGGTTTTATTGTGAACCGGTCTTACAGAACACGTATTGGACAATGGTATGTAGTAGAACATAGAACCTTCCTCTAGTTTCTGCGATGTCTTCAAAATGTGTAACTAACCATCAAACTCTCATCAGATTGGTACCCTTGGCGCCTTAACGGTCTACATCGTGGTTCATCCCTTCTACCAGAGTCGTCAATACCGCCTTTTTCGCCTTTCTGTCTTTGTTGTGACAGGTCTCTCAGCATTCGCCCCAATTATTCACGCATCGAGGTTATTCCCGCTTGAGCAACTCAACAAACAATCTGGTCTCCCCTACTACTACGCGGAGGGTGGATTGATTCTTCTCGGCGCGCTTATTTATGGCTCGCGATTTCCAGAGAGGCTCTATCCAGGACAATTTGATATTTGGGGGGGCTCTCATCAGATATTCCACGTGCTTGTTGTTCTGGCTACGTCTATTCACCTACTCGGTGTTTTGAATGCATTTGAATGGAACTATGAGAATCGGCGGTGTATGACTGGTGATAGGCTGTTGTAGGTGTCAAGCGCGCTGGCTGTTAAGGGCTGTCATGTGGTCAAACATCGTCGTTTAATCACTCGGAATCATCCAGTCATGCAACGCACCGGTTAGATCTGTGGCGAGCTGGCGAGCCAAGTGCGAGGCACAATTAGATCAAGGAAGGTGAGCAGAGGAAACCTACGAGAATCTTGAGGGAGGAACACCGTCGAAAGGTGATTTACAAACGGGTGGAAGGGTGTGAGGGAAGTACTGAGAGTATGCTATATGAGATAGAATATTGACCGGATAGAGGAGCTCTGGATCCTGGAGGCTGTCGCTCAGCGGGCTCTTGTGATGGAGCTATTTGAAATCTTGCTCAAACAGTGATATGCATTTACATGAGAATGTATCCAAGTACCGTTTAAACACTGGACCACTTGTTCAACATCTCAACTGCACCAAGCGTATCTGGTTGATTAGCCCTGATAGCCTTTACAAGAGGACTGAGTAAAGTCGTGCATGGAGACCCTAGCGGAGATCCTAAGTTCCCCCAATCCATTCAGTTTCATACCCATAAAAGTATACAAAAGTGAGTGGACGTGAGCTCCTAGGATCAACAGTATTTCTGACTACTGGCCTGTGCGGATCTGGACTTACTCGGTTTCACCCCCATTTGCAAGCCCTGAAATCCGATGAACCCCGGGGGCGGGTTCTGGGGGGTACCACCCCAAAAGCGCACCCTGAACCTACTCAAATCCGAGATTTCATAGTCCGCTGTTTCATGACAGTATTGTAAAATATTGAACAAAGCTATATAATAGTATAATTAAGTCTATCCGAATTCTTCGAGCGGTGGGCGTTGGAACTCGCCTGGGTTTCGGGCTATGGTAGGTTTGGGGTGAGTTTTTGGGGTGGTATCCCCCATAACCCGCCCCCGGGGTTTATCGGAATTCAGGGCTTGCAAATGGGGATGAACTACAAATGAGGGTGAAGCCGAGAAGATGTTCATCATCATAGAGGTCTTCCGCGATTTGGTCTTTGTTTCGAAGATGATTGTAGTAGATCCGGAATGCTAGCGCGCCTTGGCACGGTTCCTTTTAAACCTCAGCCAACGCTAGTGTACGATACCGGAGAGTTATTAGGTCGATCTAGTTATATTCCCCTAATTAGTAAGAGATTACAGTAGTAAATAGGGGATATATTCTAACTAATCTTATCGTCTTCCCTATACCTCGCTATCGTTATTCTCTACTCTTTTATTTTTCTTATATCTCGCTATCATTAAATCTTCGCGTAACCCCCTCTTATATAGTCTTAATATCATCCCCTCTTCGTATTCGTCAGTTTTCTTAATATGAGGGCTTCGAGAATACTTAGAAGGAGTTAAATTAATACGATAGCAACTCGAAGGATATTAATCGAGACCGTAGCCCGAAGATAAAATTTTTAAATAACGACTTTCTATCTCTAATATAGAAAGAGGATAATAATAATAGCGACGGCGAATAGAGTAAGGCCACATATTCTAACGCGTCTAGATTATCGTTACCGAAATTTATTACCCCTCCCTCCTCTTTCTCCTTAAAACGTAAGGCCGAGATCTTCTTAGACGCGTCGATAGATTAGAAAGAGTCTCGTAAGGGGATTAAGCGAAGGAAGACGCGTGTTAATAAAGTAGTCGTCTCTCATTTAAGATTAACAATTATAGCCTTGCCGTCGAATATTGAGGTAATTTATTAGCAGGGAGTTTAATTAGTCTTAAAGGATCTTATCGATACCGGCTATAACGTGTCCAAATTGTAGACGCCTATTAACTTTATAAAGATTTTAATAGATAGCGAGAATAAGAGCTAGATAGCTAGCTAAATCTCTAATAAAATCTCTATAAAGTGATAATGAGATAGATTTCGTTTTAAGATATTAGAAATATTAGAATAATAGCGACGGTTTTCTTATTAGATTTCGCCTTAATAGCTTCGAGATATCGTAATAATAACGACGTCTTTTTACTTAAATTTCGCCTAGCCTTATTAAATTATTCTTCGCTCTATAGAAGATAATAGCGAGGTCTCTTATTATAACGTAAACTCCGCTATATCTTCTATATAAATCTCGCTTTAATTAATAGTAATATCAGCGGATATAGCTAAGAGATCTCCGGCGATAATGGCAGCGATAGTAAGGTATTAGTATTATCGCGCTTTATTTTGGTGTGGCTACTATATAAATCTGGCTTAGCCACCTTATAAGTACGCTAATAGTATTTTTCTTAGCATTGGCTGAGGTATAAAAGCTACCCTTGGCACAGGGCTCTCCTGCAAGCCTGTTGGCCTTATCCCTCACCACTCCGGCCAAACTGGTTTTAGTCGTACAGCAACCCATGAAGATAGGAAGCCGTGGTGGAAGGCAATGGCTCTTAAGATATGCAATCGGGACATTTGTAGTCATCCTCCTGGTGGTCTTGCTCTCCCATACATTCGAACCGACCAAGTTCCTTCGGGAATCCTACGACCACGATGTCGGAGCCTCAGGGGATGAGTCAACGCCATCTTCGGAAAGAGTGTCCGATATAACCTCCCTTGATACCTCCTCTTCTGGCTTGAACGATGCATCAATTGCACCGTCTTCGGAGGAGCTGCATACCACCAGTGACTTGAAGAGCACATCAGCTACAGTCTCTGATGGCGTTATACCCAACAAAGTACCAACTACGATCCCTGACTCCCAGATCCTAGTCACACCCAAACCACAACTCGACGTCGTCATTGCCCATCATTCCGAGGAGCCGTACTACATCAAAGTCTGGACGGACAGTCTGCGTTCGATACCCTACATGCAAGAGCTAGGAATGCGGATCATAATCTACAC